ATATTTTTTGCTGTATGGTGTAACTTAATTATATGAGCACAAGTGTACATATTTATATTACTCAAATTCATACTGCATACTGCATACTCAAAAAAATTTGTATGTTTGTAATGTACATACTCATTTTACTCAACTTCGGGTTAAAAAAAACTAAACTCAAATTAATGTAGGGTGCGCCCCATAATACCATCATAAAAACATTATAGTTGCGTTCCAGATGCTTCACGATTTGCAGGTTTTGGTGTTCAGGCGGCATCAGAAGGCATCCAGTCGCTGTCTGTAGTGCGGTGTTTTGCGTCGTCTGCAGCTTCATCCACTGCGTCCTACTAGTCCCCGGCGATCACACTGGTGCTGCGTAATTTAAAACCGGCCGGCCTATTGCCTTGTATGTTGCCAGCAACGTTTCTTTATCCTTGCCCCAAGTATCGCCGGCTAGCGACTTGAGGACCTTGTTGCGGCTCTCTACTTTGTTCACAATAGCGGTTGCGTGCGCAGAGAAGGAGAGCAGACTGCCGAAGGTAACTCCGAGTACTTTGGGGTTATTCACCGTCGGAATAGGTATATCACCGACGTGAATTCCCAGCGGTAGCCTGACCTCCTTCGTCCAGATGGTGAACAAGGTCGCAGAGGATTCCGTAGGGGAGAGGGTTAGGCTCCTTGCAGTGAAGAAGCGTGAAAGCTCGGAGTGATACCCGTTTACTTTTGAACGCAAGTCATCAATTCCATTCCCAGTCGCCATGATCGAGTAATCGTCGGCGTAAGAGACAATCGAGACTTCCTCTGGTGGTTGAGGGAACTTTGGAATATAAAAGTTAAACAATAGCGGGGAAAGTACACCACCCTGTGGAACCCCCTTTTTATTTTTCTGAGTTTGCTCGATTTGTCTCTAAACATTACCGACTAGTGTCGGCCACTCAGATAATTCGCCGACTACCGTTTGAGCCTCTGTGGGAGAGAGGAGGCTCCTATATCTTCTAGTAGCGTGGAGTGGCAGACGGTATCAAACGCCTATGACAGGTCCTACGCTACTAGAACAGTTCTTTCACAGGGACGGTTGCGGTTAAGGCCACGTGTTATCTGAGTGTTTATGGCGTTAAGTGCTGTTGTTGTACTGTGCACTTTATGGAAACCAAGTTGCTGCTTCGCTGGGTTCAGGTGGTTCGTGAAATACGGGACCAGCAAGGCCTCTAGTGTCTTCGCTACCGGGGAAAGGAGTGTTATCGGCCGATACGATTCTCCTTTGTTGAGTGGTTTCCCCAGTTTGAGCAGTGGGACCACTCTCCCCACTTTCCAGCTGTCTGGGATGATGATAGTGGTCATTGACAAATTGAGGACATCCTTTAGGTACGCTACTCCCACAGGAACCAAATTTTTCAGCATCAGCATGCATATTACGTCTGGACCCATGGCTTTGGAGGCTTTCGCCTTCCCGATGGCCATCTGAACTTCACCGCTACTGAAAGCAAGGGGGCACAAGTTGTTGGCAGTTTGCGCAGCCTTCTGCTCACTCGACGCAGCTCCACCGGAGGATGCAGTATGAACTGCCGGCTAAAATAGCTCGCGCATCGCTCCGGGTCCGACGAGGCATGGTCGCCGAAAGAAATTTCGACCCTATCGTCGTGCTTCGTCGGATTGGACAGTGACTTCACGGTTGCACAAAGCTTACTCACACCAGAGGTGAGGTTGCAAGTCTTCAGATGCTCTTCCCACAGTAAATTCCGAGAAGCCTTTCCAATCAGCTTTAGAAAAGTTGATATAGGTCCGGTGTTCCGCGGAAGCAAAGTCGGTTGGATTATCGATCGAGATGACTATGGGCAGATGGTCTGCCAAAGTCAGCATAGGTCGCCATGATACGCTGTTTATCAGACCAGCGCTGACTATTGTTATATCTGGCGAACTGCAGCAGCTGCCCGTACTCCTGGTGGGTGCGTCGTCGTTCATTGTGCAGAATGTCGAATCGTCTATCTGCTCAGCCAAGTCTGTTCCCCTACGATCGTTTGATAGGCTTGAGTGCCAAAGATCGTGGTGCGCATTAAAGTCACCAACTACCATACGGTTTTCACCTCTGAGTAGCGCACCTCATCAGGGTGATATCCTGCCGGGCAGCAAGTGACAGGGGGTATGTATACGTTAAATATTTCGAGCTCAACATCGCCTGACCGGATAGCAATGCCCTGACATTTTAGGGTGGTATCCCTGCGGTCATATTGAATTTCCGTGCAACTTCGTCTCTTGGACCGCAGCTATCAACATACCATGCCTTCCCATGAAGACGGTTATCTCCTCGATCTTGCTCTGAAGTCCGTTACAGTTAAATTGAATGAGCTTTATGTGGATCGCGAGACTTGTATGTATGCGGGGTGTGCGGGATGTGTGTGGCCTTGCCGCCATTGGCTGTGTGTGCTGCTGTGGAGGTTGCCGCCCTGTGGTGGTAGTGGGCGGCGTCGCAGTTGGGGTTTGCGGCCGAGCGGCGCAAGACGGGCCCTCGAAATGATGTGGTCCACTGCAGATGGGTCGGTAGTCCTGAGCAAACTCCGAGGTCTCTCTCTCTGACTGAGGTGGAGTTGTGGTGTAGTCGTCTCTGGCATACACAGCAGGTGTATGTTTTTTTTGCTGAGGTTGCTATCCATACTCGGTTCATACCTACCATAACTTTCAAAGCACTCTGGACCTTTTTTGGATGTAAAATCTACATAGACTCATTTAACCGTATTAGAAAAAAAGTTGAATTTATTCCAAGGGATTTTGAACACTAGCTACCAGGAAAGTAAAAAAAAATCGTGGCTACTTCCTAATTGTCTAAGAAACGGTTCCGGTAGGTATAATTATTGCTTTTTTTCTTGTGGAACTCTTCTGCGCTGCTAAGTCAGTTTTAGCAGTCCACTTTTTAAATTTAATTATTTTCATTTACGTTTAGAAATTGATTTATTTCAGCAAAAAATTTCCACAACTTTAGGGAGTCTTATAACTATGGATAAAGGGACAAAACGTTGGACTCAATATTTTGTTTAAATTGAATTATGCGCTCCTGTTTCATAAAAATTGCCGCAATATTGCAATCTTGCTGCTTTCTTGATGCTGTTGCTTGAATGAAATGTTGCAGAAATAACAGAGTAAACATTTTGTAAGCAAATCAAATGCTAGTGTGAGCGACGGATCGTCAAACTTTCTTTCATCGAACGCGTGAGGCGGGCAGAGTCGCCCAAATTTTCGCAAAGAACATGATGCTCTTTCGGGAAAGATAGCACTGATGCATTTATTGCAACTCGAATATACGCCTACCTTTTATATCGCTATTAACGATATACATGTTTTTTAAATTAATTTAATAGTGTGTATTGGTCAATCAATTAGTGTAGAATTTACAATATACCAAGTTTTGTATGTACAACTTTATTTATCAGTGCTCGAAGATGGAGGTTGAGAGAATCTTTCAAATTCTACCTTGGCTTTATGAATTAATTGCCCGGTGTAACACGGAAGCATTTCAATGAAATGAAACGTTTTTTTTACACCCTCGTTGTAGTAGTGCTTAGCCAGGAATCGAGCTTCTCCAGTTTGAGGTAGAGCGGGTACATCAAAAGGCAGTTTCTTTTCCAGCTCTTTTGCATGTGGACGCAACCCTTCCTTTAACTCGTTATACAATTTTTCGGTTTCTTCGGAGCTACCCCATACTCCCAGTTTCTTGGAGTAATATACGGCACCAACAACAATGCCGGCACGTACTAGTAAGCTGGATTGCAATAAAGTTAGCGTGTACATGTGGAATAAAATCATTACGTAAAAATCAGCACTACCGGAGTTAAATTTAGAATATGTACATACCTAATCACCATTTTTTTGGCAGTAGTCTTAACTCGGACTGTTGACTCGTTTCAAAATCTTATTTTATGTTCAAGAACTTATTATCGTTTTTAAAACTCGTGGAAATATCCTTTAAAGGAAAACGAATTAACATCTATTTTTTATTGACTTTTTAATTTATTAATTAACAGCTGATAAATAAGTCCCCTTTCAGACACGTCAAGCCTCAAGAATGAATAGGTTTGTTCGTCGAGCAAAAAATTTGTACGAATTTGTACGAATTATCACGATTTTTGCCCAAATCGCGTTCGTGCAGACCAAAAAATTATCCAACACTCAAAAATTGTGAGAGCAAAGTGACAGTTCTCTTGGAGAGAAGTTGCAAATTCTTGCTGGAAAAAATTTTGCCAGCAAGAATTTGCAAACACGAAAAACATGTGGTTGTGGCGCATGGTTGCATTTTTGTCTACAATAATTTGAATAAATTAGTTCGTTAAATTTAAAAATTTATAAACACGAGCGATTTTTTTATGAAAAAAGGAAGTAAATAATTGTTGATATAATTAATTTAGTTAATTCCAATGATTTGAACTTAATTCGGCTGAAAAAAATGGTATTCGCAATCGGAATGCAATTGCAACCAGAGTCGACTTAAGAAACCCGACAGCTAGTACGATGAAGAAATTGAAATGTATGTCAAAGAAAGTCAGAACAACAAGAAATATACATGTATATCCTGTTTTTGGCCATTCGAAAGAATTTTAAAAATTCTATAAAAATTTTTTATGTTTGAAATGCAACCGTGGACGCCAGCTGGCAGCGAAACTTGCAAATTCCTGCAAATTTGCGTTCGTGCAGAAATTTGCAAGTTTCTCACCATGAGAGAGAATTTGAGAGAATTTTTTCTTACTCTCTGATATTTTGAGTGTTGGATAATTCTTGCTGGATTTTCGACGAACAAACCTAATACAAGATTGCGCCGTCCTGGGCGTTGACATTTGTGTACCACAAGTAAACAAAGAATAGAGCGAAAAGAAGAACGAGTTGAAACTGCCAAAGCGGTTCACAAAATGCAGCGATTCGTCCCAGCGCTACACTTGCATCTACGCTTCTTGCATCTTGGCGGCTGTCGCACTTTAACACACAGCACTTCATTGTATTAGTTTTTACGCAGTCTTCAACTCAAAAATCGCTCACAAATTGCAAATTAACACAATTTAAACTGATTTTACACTTATAATTCAAATTTCTCGTTTGCTGATTTGTAAACAAAGGTTTATTTACAAGTTACCACAACTGTCAAAATCGGCAAAACCAAAGTAGCGGTACCACTGACGGCGCCACCTTTGTTCGCTGCACCGTGATGCCAACCCGCTGTTTTTGATCAGCTGTTTTCCTGTTGGCAAATTGCTGTTGACAAAAATTCTTCCAGCAGAAACCAGCAGCTTCCCCTCAAAATGAAATGTCACTTTGCTCTCTTAATTTCCCCTACTTTGCAAGTTTTTTGCGTACGCGAACGCAAAAACTTGTAAGTTTTGGTTAAACATGAACAATTAACAGTTACGCGAACACAACTATTTTTACCCGGAGAAAAAGTCCGGCTGTTTCGGGCAGGAAGAAGAAGACACTTACGATCCAATACGTTCCAATTTTCGCTCTCTATTACCCATTTTGTTGAGTACAGTAATGATTTCTTGGCTATTTTGGGCACCCGCGGGATCCCGCGTTGCGTACTGGAAGGAACCTAATAGTAATAATAATCATGTTCGAATTGGACATTTATCCATGATAAGACGAATGATAAAAAATATATTTATTTTAGGGTGGTAGACTACCATTATACTGAAATCAACCGAAAGCTGCAGAGGGAAAGAAAGAAGTTAATTCCATTTACGATGGGCTCGCTTCATTACATCGAGTTGTCTAAATG